AACAAAGAAAGCGATGAGAATGCAAACCAGGTGACTTTTACGTTTTCAGTCAAGTATTCAGAAATCAAGGATTTCTACCAAGGAGCTAAGAGGACTTGGGATTTTCTTTTTAACAAGCAAGGACCTTCAAGTGGGAATCATTAAAGAGTAAAAAATGGTGAGGGCCTCTATCAGAACTCCTTCTATTTCCCAAGGGCCACTCAATAGTTATCAATCAGTTTACTAAAAATGATAACATAATTTATTGAAATTATAAAAGTGGCATCACAAAATTGGTGTGTATTTCCCTAGAGGCAGGATAGCAGGGTGAAGGGAAAATAGGCTTGAGTTACACAGATCTGTGGTTGAACCCAGCTGTGGCTGGGTGGCCTTGAGCAAAGTGGTTAGCTTCCTTTAGCCTCAGTTTCTTCATCCATAAGATGGCCAGGTAGGGGACACCTATCTCATAGGCATGTGGTATTCAGTCAACAAACCATAGCTAATTCATTTTACTGCTGCTAAGACACAAATTATAGCTGACAAGTTTTCTTTTCTTTTTCTTTTTTTTTAAACAAAAAGCAGATTCAAGCACCTACTTACACCTAGTAAAGTATTAGGCATTGAAGGCAAATCATGCACACTTAGTCCCTGCTCTCTTGGAGTTTATCATCACAATCCCAAGGATACTAACAAATAAGAGAGTGAAAAGATATAAGATTAAGAATTTACTCTGTATTAACATCCTGCATAATTGCAGGGAGGTGACCCAGAGTCCTTCGGTCATAGTCCCCTCCTCTTTCGTCAACAGTGGAAAGACTTAGAGAAACAGGCAGCTCAACTGTGGTGGTGTATAGCCTTAGAGACAACGCCAAGGAAGGAGGGCGCAAAGGTGGGGAAAAAAGAACAACTAAAAAGTTCATCCTGCAAGACAGGTGGTCAACACAGCCTGAAAACAGACAGTGGGACAGAGGGCAAACAGCTCAAATGTGCCCTGCGGTTCAACCAGTGCGAAAGGAGTTAAGGCCTGGGCGGGTGCTGAGGAATCCGGGGCTCCTGTGGGAGAGGACGGGTCTGCACCACAGCAAATACAACGGTGATGGGAGCCTACTGAAAGCTGTGAGGGATGAACACTGATGGCCCTGGCCCCACACAGCAACCCAAAGAAGAGTGCGACCTGGCCACCCACAAGGAGACTGGGGGCAAAGGGGAGGGTGCTGCAGGGGAATGAGAGGCCTGTTGTCCCGGGCAAGGGAAAGAGGGCAGGGAGGGCACAGCGTTCAAAAGAGGAAAGGAAGTCTCCTTGGGGTTTGAGTGTGGGAAGGACTTTCACTTTCAATCCAGTTGAACCTGCTAACTGGGTCCTATTTCTATCTGAAATGCAGGGGAAGGTTCAGAGGTCCATGCCCAGAAGGCAGACGACACTTGACTGAGAGCTGGGACACGTGTAATAAGGAAAGTAAATAAGAGACCAGGCAGAGGGCGGTTGAGATTGACCAATTCAGACAGCAGCCAAGGATGGAGGCCAAGAGCCTCCATAAAGAAGGAAGATGGTGGCTCTGAACTGGAGGGGCTCCTCCAGACATCCAGAAAATTCATGGGTAGCAATGGGCGTCAACCTCCACTCTCGAGCTGTCAGCAGCCTCCTCAGCAGGGGAAGATGGGAGGACGGCACCTACTCGGAACACTTGTCCCGGGAAGTTCAAAGCACCTGTGGGGAACATGACCTTTTTCTATAGTTTTAATTACAGTCCCCCATGTCCTGTGTCGTAAACATCGCAATTTAGTGAAGCGTCTTATCTTGTGCGCTCTTCCAAGCATACAGTCATGAAACAGGTTGTAGGAATAAAAAGCAATCCCAGCAGAGGATTTATCCAGCAGATGTCGATCTAGAGAACTTGATCCGTGGTTTTCCCAGCACTTTCAACACCCACTTCGCTAAGAGTCCATGAAGGCCTCACAAGGATGAGTACACATAAACCAGCACCCGTGCCGGCAGTTATTTCTGCTGTCTGGAACACAGCTGGAACGCCTGGCTACTCCTAATCACCTTGCCTCATGAGCAATTCATCTCTTCTCTCAAGAAGAGTCCCCGACCTGGGAAACTCTCCCTCCTGCAGTTGGGCCTCTCCTGGGCTGAGAGATGAGCACCAGGCAGGGAGCCGGCACTGGGACCACCTGTAAACTCACAGAATGAGAAATGAAGAACTGGGCACTGCTGGCTCGGCAGATTCTGCTAACATGCCCAGAAGCTTCTGCTGCACGGCCTGGCATAACCTTCCTGGACTTGGCCACTCTCTCTAGGGACACGTTCCCAGGCCTATCAGACCAGCTGGCTGCTTGCTTATTCATCTGTCAGCAAAACCAAGCTAATGTAAGCAAGGCTGCCAAGCGAACAAACTGGGAACCACTCTTTGCATGACACCCAGGGCAATACTAACAGACCCATGGACAGATGCAGAAGGCACAGGGCATGTAGGAAGCATTGGATAGCCCCACATGCGAATCCTTGGTTCCATCCCTTGTTGGCTGAGCAATCTTGGGCAGGTTACTTAACCTCTCTGAGCCTCCACTCCTTCCCATGAAACAGAGGACCAGGACCTCCCACGTCAGGATATTAGTAAATGGGCATCTTTTTATCCTTATGTGCACCTTGCACAGTGGCTGGAACACTCAGTAAATGCAAGTGGTGCCTCCCACACCCACCTCATGCACACACCTGATATACCCTAACTCGAGACTTTTTCTAACAGCCCAGAAGAACAAACCTTTCTCCAGTCCTCCTACCATGCTCACCTCCCTCAGTTTCTCAGAGTGCTAATTCTAGAGGCCAAGATCCTCAAAACTCCTTCTGGGCCACTCTCTTGATCCCTCCAGGAGACACCGATCTAGGGAAATCTCTCCTGGAGGACACAGCAGGCCTGGTGAGAGCATCTAACCATTTAACACGTGAGGCCAACACTGACAGCCTAAGGCAAAAGCTGGGAGGGGTAAAAAGGAGAAAGTAAGACAACAGGAGGTGGGGGAGCAGAATGACAGTCAGATAACAGCCGAGCAGCAGGTGAAGGACAGGTGGTGTACAGTGGCAATGGGACGTCATTCAAACACCTCGGCTTGGCACAGAGGGTTGTCAAGCTGGCCTTCAACTGCTGCTCCTGCCTCTCACTCCTACTATGTCCCGGGTGTGAGCACACACTCCTGTTCCCAGCCCTTCGGTTCTGTCTGGAATGCCGCCCTGCGCATGGCCCTGCCCCCCTTTCCAATCTGGCTAACTCCTGCTCGTCCTGCCTACTCCCGCTCAGTCATCACCTCCTGTCGTCTGCCTTCTCCACCTTCCCGCCCCTACAATTACATCTCCCTCTGGGTGTTCCCACCATACCCTGCACTCCTTATCATGCCACTTGCACAACTGCACTGTCATTGCCTATATTAGTTATGGCTTCTGCTGCCTCACTCATCTTTCTATGCCAGGTACTAGGAACACAACGGGCACTCCATGTTTGCTGAATAAATCAATGACGCAGGTGGTACTTAGGACCATAGCTCGCCTACCACTTTGATAGAGCCTCATCCGCATAGCAGAAACCAGGATTCAGAGAGTACAGCGTTCAAGTTCTGGCTCTGCCATCTGCTGTGTGTGCCTGGGGAAGACACTTTCATTTCTGAACCTTACATTTATGACATATTAAAAGAAGGAAGGATGAACACCACCGCCTTCTTCACGTGACTGTGGTTGACCTCAGGATCACTGAGAAAGCAGGTGTTGAGGGAACTCGAGTAACTGTTGTGTGCTCTGAGAGTCCACATGCTTTCCTGGGCCCCCAAAACCGTTCCCTCTGCAGAGAATGAGCCACAGCACGTGTACAACTGCCTTCCGGGTCTCATCTGTGTGAACCCGTTGCCAAACGTTAAAAAGAAAGCCCCGGAGCCTAGGAGGGCTGCATTTAACGCCTATCCTTCATTCTCAGGCTCTAAATACTGGTCCCAGTTGACATCTACAGCTGCCAAAGGAGTGACTTTTGATGCTGGAAGTGTTTTCCAATTAATTTATCTATTAAAGGTCTCCAGCTCCCACTAGCGAGGCCAAAGCCGAAGAGTTAGGAAAGTTAACAGTTAAATCAGCACCTGGCTGACTAGACACAGCGAGCCAACAGCACCATGGTCCCAGCTCCTAGTTCACTCACTGAAGTCATTCCAAGTCTCTCTTCCTAAGAGACACCCCTCTGCTCAGCTGCAGGATAAATAGACAAAGGAATGACAACTATGAAATTAAGACTAAGAACTAAGGCTGGAGTGGTTAAAAAGAGGAATATTTTTTGTTTTTAAACCCTCGTGCCTTTAAACCTCATTATAAGTTACTTAGGGGGGAAAAACCTAAAAAGAACAAACAAACAAAACTCACATAGCACCTAAAATGCATACAACAGGCGCTTAACCTCTGCTGAATAAATTAATGTATCAGATGGTACCTAGGTGCCCTAAGTTGTCTCTTGTTTTGATGGACCTCAATCAACTTAGGAGAAATCAGGTTTCAAAAAAGAGCAGAGTCAAGCACAGACTATGGCATTTACTAGCTGGGTGAGTTTGGGAAAGACACATTTCTGAGACGTAGTTTTAGCATCTAGTATAAATGGGGATGGGTATATATTGTATATAATACATAACATATTATCTAGAACACATAATACATAATACCCTCTACAAAAGAAGACACATACCATCTCATGGTTAGTTCTTTATGGTTTAAAATTATTTTCATACCTATTTTCACATTTTATTCTCTCAACACCTAGGAGCCACAGACACCTTCCTCTTTACAGAGACGACTGAAAATCGTGGAGGTTAGTCAGCTTGCACCAGGGCATACCCAGAGGCTGAGCAGATTCAGAGTTTTTCAACTCCTCTACTCTGCGACTCTTCCCAGTGTTCCATGCTGGCCAGAACCGGGAGACAGTATCAACGCTCCCCCACCCAGGCTGCTCTGTGATGCTGCGCAAGCTCTTTCGCCCCACCTCTGCACCCACCTGCTGTCCTGGAACCTCCATTTTCAACATCACAGGCGGCCCCTGCTTCCACACACCGCAGCTCAGACACTGAGACCTTCAGCATCACCCAAAGCAAGGTTCAAACAGTACACATTCTACTGTCCTGCATGCGTCCAGACATCAACGGAAACCCTGGGATGCACAATTCAGCTGACACAGGTTATGTGGGTCCCAGTTAGACAGGACAGAAGCAGCTTGTGATAGAAAATGCAAAAACTGGGAAGTGACCGAATATACACGTAAAAGCAGTTGTACTTCCTACCACGCTGGATTCTGTGCCTGCTGAAATGTGTTAAACTGTGAGCTGTTCTGAAACAAGATGCAAGGAAGTAGGTAGGATCTGTTGCTATATATATAAGCGCCTAATTTGGGGACATCTTTGCTGCAAAATAAATGGAGATTCAGACAGGGACTAGGAATAGGCATTTACAGAAGGAATTCAGAAAGCTTGACTCATTGCAACTAACCTTCATATACTCAGACCTACTACTTCTGGAAAGAAGTCCAGAAGAGAGACTCCTGGACCCTGCGAATTACAACCTATGTCCTGTCAGAGATAAACAACATCCTTTTCATTTACAAGTGTCCATCCCTCCAAGGTAGGACAGTTCAAAACAGGGAGGAAAAAGCACAAGCTGGCAAACACTGCACTACTTACTGTTCAAGGCGAAAAAGAGGCCATCGTCATGTTCCCCAGGGACATACCTTATTATAGATTCTGTCCCTTCTCTTTTCAGTGTCCCTGCATACAAAATACCTAGCAAATTATTAATTACACCTTCAGAAGGGACCTTATTTAACTTTCCAAACCCAGTTAAAATCTTCTCAATTATGTTCTTCTAAAGTAGGGTTCACTAAGTGTAGGAAAGACAGGAGTATAAGAGAAAGAGTGAGGACTGGGGTAGGGAAAGTAAGCTATTTTTTACAGACTAGAAAAGATATGGAGAAGAGCTAAGCGGGGAGGGGAGGCAGCTGCTTCTGAGTGAAGAGCTGAACAAAAACCAGGACAGAAACATAGGAAAGTACAGATTTTTTTTCAAATCTGAAGAGATTCAAAAGATATATTTTCTAAAAACAAGAAGGCTGAGTTAGCAATGTACAGTCTAAGAGATAGCGTTGGGGCCTGGGGGCAAGATACAGTTCACTGGAAAGGCCACTGGCACCCGGCGACACATTACACTGGTCCGCTGGTAGACTGGTACACACATTGCTGCACTGGCCACCCTGGCAACGGGGCCTTAGACTATCTGTCAGTTCTCGGCATCATTTGAGTGATGAGGTCCTGGAGGGAAACCAGAGAAACCAAGCTTCGTTTCCGTGGGATGGGTGGGAATCACCTGAATGAGGTGAACTGATATCGTAGGCCCAGATGCCATTTGCTCTCCCTCTCTCCCTGCAGCAGGGGTGGTATCAGCGGTGAAGCCCTGTCTTCTGTGTAGGATGCTGCAGGCATTCTCAAGCTTGCCACCATGCTTCACGGTGCCTGGGGGGGGAAGACATTCCTGAACCCGCTATTTTCCTGCTTCTTATCTCTCCCTCAGGAGCTCTCCATGGGTGTCCTGCCTCACAGCCAGAACCCCAAAACAAAGGGTGGTAACGAATGTGGCCTTAACTTTCACGCTTCCCAGAAGAGTGTGGAATTCTGACTGCACAGCTCCAGCTGAGAAGGCTAGTGAAAGTTCAGCACCCCAGCATCTAAAACCGCTCAGGGAGAAACTCTGAAAGATGAGATCTTTACATTCAAGTAACTAAATACAACCGCTCCCATAAATGGACATTCCAAAAGCCCTGACTATTTCTCCAGAGCCTTATGCTATGTGAGTCAAGAGCTCCCAAGTAGATAACTCAGTGGTCCCCAGTTGTGAAACACTCAAGAAGGGAGACACAATAAAGGCGTGGAGAAGGAAACGAAAAAGTTCCAGGAAATCACTGGTATCTAAACCTGGTAATAGGAGGGGCCCAAAATAAATACTTTCTATTATTTCCACAGGTAATAAGCACCAAGGGGAGGAGGGAATGGAGAAGAAAAGAAACACTCTAAGAAATACATACAGATTCAGGAATGACATTCGGGGGTGGGGAGGACAGAGAGGTTAAGCAAAAGAACTTCTCTCTGATGACTGAAATATCTTTTTGGATGAAGACTCTTTCTGCCAACACCTGGCAGGGGGCAGGGAGGTGGGGCAGAGAACCCACTGGATTTAGTAGGTAGACATAATACTTGGCCTGCTTTCAAAAATATAAATATTTGGCATGTTTTGTTTATTTTTCATGAAGAACAAAAATTCTCATAATTATACCTGACAAGTTAAGGGTTGGAAATGCAATAGGAGAATATCTTTCTCTTTTTACTTTGCAAATAGGGGTGGGCATTAAAGTCACTGAGCTGGTCTGCTCTACACTGAGTTGCTCCCTAGCACCTGAATTTTCCTATTTTCCCCATCTCTGATTGGATCCAGGAGAGACATCGTCAGGCGGTTCTGCTCTTTCTTGTGCCTCCTCGTGCCAGCCCGGAAGCCTGACAGTGGTCCACAGCTTTAGTCTGTTCTCCATGATCCACGTGATGCTGCCACACTCTGCTGGAAGATGGAGCTCACAGAGACAGGACTGGGACCCTGATGGTCACGTGACCGTAACCCAAAATGAAAGGGGCAACTGGAAGAAAAGAAACCAGAGCCAGGGTACTGGGAGGGGGACAGCCTTGGGAACAACAGCCTTTCCTTGATATTTGAGAGACATTTGATTCAAAGCAACAGCAACCGCTTTACCAGCTTGACCTTGATTCTCATCCCTCTGTATGAGGACTTTTCACAAAGTCCCATCTAGGCTAGGCTGTACCAGGGATCCAGCCGGGGCTCTGGGCTCACTCCTGAGAACCACACCCAGATCCCAGAAAAAGAACAGGGGCACAAAATGAAAACGTTCAAAAAGAAACTAAGACAAAGGAAAGAGCATGAGAATCTGTGTACTTGTGGGTGAAGCCAGGAGACAAAAGGATAACCCATAGAGAAAAGCCATCATCACAATGTCACCTTTTACACACTCTCCTGCTCCCCCCTGGGGGCGAGGGGGATGACATGATCTCAGAGATACCCAGGTGCGCAGGGTCAGCTCCAAAGTCTGAGACACAGGTAACAGAGGGAACAGAATCTTGTGTTTGCCTTTGCGAAGACTCAGACTATGTGACCTGGAAGGAACTTTAAGGGCTATCGAATCCAGTTCCCCTCAATTTGTACCTAAGGAAGAGAACTTTCTGGGGCACATAACGATCTCAGGTTCTTTTCCCTATTCCACATCATTTCTGGGTCATCCTGGTCAAAGCCCTCACCTGTCAATAGAGTCAATCTTTCTGAGTAATGCGTGTTATTAATTATGCCTACTTTACACAGATGACCTAGTACAGAGGCTTATGACTTTCAAGGAGTAGCTCCTCAGCAAAACCTGGGAAAGCCTAGGTGAAAAATGTGGAGTTAGGCACCATACCAAGAACAGAAAGGGAAGAAAAATGATATTGGACAAGAAAACCCTCTGCTACTCATTCCAAGAGACATGTTTTCCTGTCTAAAACGAGCTTTTCCAGTTTTTACAGATATTCCAGATTCCCTCACCACAATCACTTTCCAACACTGGTGGCTACCTCCCAACACCAAAAGTTTAGAGCCAAAGATGGGAAAAGGAGCAGAAATTAACCTCGTGTTTCTCCATCTATGCTGGATCTTATCATCTTCTATAGAACTATAACTGGTACCCAAGCATGGGCTTCTTCATCTTACTTCTGCTCCTTCCCACTCCTACCACCCTGCCCTGCCCCCTTGCCCTCTAAATCTCACAGGCCAGAAAGTCCCAGACCGGGGTCACTTCAGGACTACTTCATTAACTGCAGCCCCAGAGAGAAATTCTGCTTTGCTTCTGCGTTTCCCCCATCCCATCCCAAATCCAGAACCCGCAATTTTGCCATGTACTACACAAAGACGATGTCTTGCCTCCAGTTGGCGTTCTCAGAGCAGATGCAGTACACCACCTGACCTCCTCCACCTGGCTCATTGGTAAACACTCAAGATGCACAAAATCACAAGTCCCCCTTGTTCCTTATCCTCTGCCCCTCACCCGACTCTGGGTAAACCGTACAAAGCAAAAGGAAATCAATACTGACATTCCAACTATGAGAATCTGCCCAGTCCTTCTATTGAACGCACTTTTAAGAAATCTCTGCTCTTCCCTGCTATCATTCTTGTTCACTTTTCACAATCATATTAATTGCCTTTTCCCACATTGGGCTCATTTTGTTCCACGTGCAACTAAGCAGTCCCATCTTTGTGCTTTCCTGTGACATACCAAAGGCTTTCTATCCATAGATGACATCAGCCTAAGGATAAGGACACAAAGGGCAGCTAGTATCAAAAGCTGACACAGACCTACAGAGCACCATCCATTTCTACTCCAAACTCTCAGTCTATCTAAAAACCCAATATTTCTTCTAGAAGTTTAGGTCTACCAATTCTTTATAAGATTCCAGAATGGTTGTACAAACCAGTGAGGTAAAACTGAACGTTGGAGGAGAAGAATGAGCAGGTCACAAAATAAAGCTAAACTGACATCAACCACACCACCACTTTTAACTTCACTCATAATTAAAGCCAAAACAACAATACCCCATTCATTTTTTCCAACTCAGATTAGCAGTTAAAATGTTAGATAACACCCAGCACTCTCATACGTTGTCGTGCAACTCAGGTGTCAACAATGTTTCTACGACCATAATAATGTAAACACTAAAGGTCACTCTAACCAAAACTTGATAGAATTATATTAGAAGAAAGAGAAGATGTGCGGGAAAGGGGTGTCAATTAAAAGCTAATCATCTACAGTAGGAAATCAATAAAGAATGCCTAATATTGGGAGGGGGAAAATCAGGAAATGGCAGTATAAGTGTGATTTTTTTAAGAGATAAATAAGAAGAGAAATAACCAAGAGTTGAAAGTGGCCGTCTCTGGGAAATGGGATGGGGTGAAGGAGGAAGGATTATTGACGCTGGGTCATAGGCCTTGCAGCAGAGGTAGCTGTCCTTATTGTAGTCATCATCTTCCTAAGGGCTAACTTCTTCTGATTTCATTGAGGTCATACTGGTTTATAACATTGTGTAATTTCAGGTGCACATTATTATATACCAATTTTTGTATAGACTACATCGTGCTCGCCACCAATAGTCTAGTTTTTATCCATCACCATAAATATGTGCCCCCTTACCCCATTTGCTCACCCCCCCCACCCTATTCCCCTCTGGTAACCACTATTCTGTTCTCTTTGTCCATGTGTTTGTTTATCTCCCACATGAGTTAAATTATACAGTGTTTGTCTTTCTCTGTCTGACTTATTTCACTTAACATCATACCCTCAAAGTCCATCCATGTTGTTGCAAATGGGACGATTCTGTCTTTTTTTATGGCTGAGTAGCATTCCATTGTATATATATACCACATCTTCTTTATCCATTTGTCCTTTGATGGGCACTTTGCTTCCACATCTTGGCTATTGTGAACAACGCTGCAATGGACATAGGGTTGCATAGATCTTTTTGTATTGTTGATTTCATGTTCTTTGGATAAATACCCCATAGTGGGATAGCTGGATCATATGGTATTTCTATGTTTTATTTTTTGAGGAATCTCCATGCTGTTTTCCCTAGTGGCTGCACCAGTTTGCATTCCTACCAGCAGAGTATGACGGTGCCCTTTTCTCCACATCCTCTCCAACACTTACTATTTCTTGTCTTATTAATTACAGCCATTCTGACAGGCATGAGGTAATATCTCATTGCAGTTTTGATTTGCATTTCCCTAATAATTAGTGACATTGAACATCTTTTCATGTGCCTGTTGGCCATCTGTATATTGGCTGCTTACCATGTACCAGGCAACATTTCAATTGCCTTCTCTGTATTATTTCACGTAAGCCTTACAACCTTTGAGAGGTGGGCACTATTTTGGTACCCATTTTACAGATGAGGAAAATGAGGCACAGCAAGTAACTTTGCCCAAGATTGCTGCACCAGGAAGAGGGAGAGCTGCAGCAGTCCTGTCTTTTTATACCACACACTTTTTTAACTTTTACCAAAGTAATAATAAATAGGCTAAATTGTAATCATGTCCATGCACACAAGCAGCAGCATTTGTAAACAAAAATGGCCAGTTAAATATGAGGGTGTGAGCTATTTCTAGTCTGCAAGATATAAGGCTCAGAAGGGGACAAAGCAGGTAAGACACTGCTGTCACACCAAAATGTGATTATTTAATCTGAACAGGTGCCCCGTGCATATAGGCTGAGCCTACACGTCTGCCCAACTAGTCAGAACCTCTGTGCCCTAATGAGGAAGAGTCCAAACTGCCCTCTCTGGAGTTTTACTCACACTCACCTCATTTTCTCAGACGGGGAAAAAATATTTCTAACTTTTTTTTTTTTTTTTGAGGAAGATTAGCCCTGAGCTAACATCTGCTGCCAATCCTCCTCCTTTTTGCTGAGGAAGACTGGCCCTGAGCTAACATCCCTACCCATCTTCCTCTGCTTTATATGTGGGACGCCTGCCACAGTATGGCTTGCCAAGTGGTGCTATGTCTGCACCCAGGATCCAAACTGACGAACCCAGGGCTGCCAAAGCAGAACACGCGAACTTAACCACTGCGCCACTGGGCCAGCCTCTCCATCTTCAAAATGGAGTCAGCTTCCAGGATTCTTGTAGCCTGAGACTGAGACTGTATTAATATCCACACCAAAAAGGGCTCTTTGCTGTCCTCATGCTTGATCTGGGATGGAATGTTCTCCTCAGCAAAATGTCCACACGTAACAAAATTCTACATACAGTTTCAAGAGATTGATGGCCCTTCTGAAGCCCATCCATGGACCCCAGGCTAATCTAAGAACCTTTGCCCTGCAGGAAAACCCTCTGCTCCCACTGGAGGGGAAGAAAAGGAAAGATAAGACCGAACCACCTCCCTAATGTTACTATAAAAAAATTTTTTAAAGAGTCCTTTTTCTCTCATCAGCACAATTATAGGAACTAGAAAAAGACCACACTCAGTAACCAAGATGTTCAAAACTCCAAATAAGGTATATCCTTAGAATTCTACAACATTGACTTTCTTTACAGGCACAGCATCTTCTAGTAAAAATTACCTGAAAACAGATGGCAGCCGCCATTGCAGGAGCACCCTCTCCTCAGGATATTGCTGATGAGGCAAAAATTTGTCCCAAACCTCAAGGAAATGCACATTCAGCTAACGTAAAACCACCTCAGATCCTGTTAACTGTTGCACAGCTAAGATAATGTCACATCTTGAGGGACACGGTCCCCAAGAAGTTGTGGAGAAAAAAAAAAATATTTCCCGAGACGGGTAACATGAGCGTAAAAAGGACTGTATCTGTGCCTAAGTATATGATCATAACTGAAAAGAAAAAGCTTTCTAAGGAAAACAACCAAATTGTACTGAGGAAGGCTGCTGAAGGGGGATTTTACTTTTACCTTCCACTGGTATATTTCGTGTTCCTCCCACACACCTGAGGGCCAGCCTCCTGCTGGCTGCTGCTTCCAGGTGCTGCCGGAAGTGGGCTCACCTGTCCTGTCAAGGTCACACTGACACTCAGGAGAGCAGAGTGGGTTTTTGGACTCTGGAGGGAGGCGACTTGGGCTTAAATTCCAGCCCCAGCACTTAGTGCTGATGGCACTGTGGATAGTTACTTAACTTCTCTGTCCTGAAATCTCCTTATCTGGAAATCGGGGATAATTACAGGAACTTCCCTCACTGGGCTCTTAGGACTAAAGGAGCTAATGCATATAAAACACTTAGAACAGCATGTATCCAGTGCTCAGAAAATATTAGCTATTATTAGTAAAAGCATTTTGAAAGGAAATAGATAATAAACACACATACAAATAATTTCAGATCATAGTAAGTGATATGAGGAAAATAAAATAAGGCAGTGGAATAGACAACTGATGGTGCTCCAACAGTACGCCCATGTTCTAGAAGAGCATGTGTTACTTTTGATTAAGAAAACAAATGTGGTAAAAGGTGATAAAAGTCTTTCTTTCTAATAAATTAAAAATCTCTGCCATCCCTTAAAAAAACCTCAGCTGAGATCTGAAAATGAAATGTCTGCCGAAGAGCTCAATAGAAAAGCAAAGGTTTCTGCTATAAATACAGAGTTCGTGTAAAGTTGCCTTTTCCATGCTTATATACAATAACTCCTGACATAAACTAGTAGCTTTTAAACTCATGAGGTCGAAGTCCCAAGCTCCAATCATCAGTCAACAGTCCATCTGCCATCCCTACACCCCATGCCCATTTCTCTCACCCCCTACACTCCTACACACTCACACGCCCGTGTCATGTGGCAGGCAGGGCGGAGGGTAAAGTACATCCAACATAAACAAATGCACCTCCTGCAAGTACACTTGTTACCGACACCAGCCTAACGTTCAGCTCTGTAGGGAGCAACTACCATGAAAATCAGTCGCATCATCAACCAAGGACTATATAAATGAGATTAACTCTTCAGATCTCAAATTCTGATATTAGAATGAAAAAGAAAAATGACCATATGAACCGCTACGTAACTCAATCCCACACCCATGGCAAAAAAAAAAAAAAAAAAAACCTCCTGGGGCTGGCCCCTGGCCGAGTGGTTAAGTTCGTGAGTTCCGCTGCAGGTGGCCCAGTGTTTCATTGGTTCGCATCCTGGGCGTGGACATGGCACTGCTCATCAGACCCTGCTGAGGCAGCGTCGCACAGGCCACAACTAGAAGGACCCACAACGAAGAATATGCAACTATGTACCAGGGGGCTTTGGGGAGAAAAAGGAAAAAAAAAATCTTTAAAAAAAGAGAAAAATACCTCCTTACATTCACTCAATGTTATTTTTGAGCGCCTATGATATTCTAGGTATAGTGGATAGAGATGAAAGACATTGCTCTTAAAACGGTCAGTCTACTGGGAAGACAATTAAGTAAACAGCAGCACAGGGTGCTGGAGCAAGAAAACATAGGATGGGAACCTCACTGCAGACTGTAGTGGACTGACAGAGAACACTCCCTAGGGCTTTGAAGTGACCAGACCAAAGGGGAGGGGACGCTATTTCAAGCGGAAGCAGCAACACATCCAGAGGTGTGAAGGGGAGCTCTCTGAGATCTGAGAACTGGAAGAAGTTGACAGTTAGGATGGGAAAGGACAGCCATGGCGTATGGGAATGACAGGAAGTAAAGCTAGAGAGACTGAGCTGTAAGGCTTAGGTGGGAGGCAGTGCTGACAGCAAGACTGAAGGCAAAGAGCCACTAAAGAATTTTTAGGGGAGTGACAGGCATGATCAGAGCTGCATTTTTTTAAAGATCACTCCAGCAGCAATGTGGAGAATGTTTTGAAGGAGTTCCAGATTGGTGGCTGGGAAGTCAGCCACCGGAGAGTTATCTAGGCAGGAAATGATGGACGGGGGCGGGAGGCTAACTTCAAGAGAAATTCAGAAAGTAGAACTGACAGGACCCTGGAAGCCTGGATGGATGCAGGAGGATGGGGGAGCACTGGCTGGAGAGCAGCAGAGATGACACAAGGTTTGTGTCCTGTGCATTTGTGTGGAGAGAAAATACAGGGAGCACAGCAAGTGTGTGGTTGGGAGGAGGGGAGGTTAGGTATTAGGGATCTAGTTCTGAACAAACTTAGTTCAAGAACATCAAACGGTGTGCTCGTTTCGGCAGCACATATACTAAAATTGGAATGATACAGAGAAGATTAGCACGGCCCCTGTGCAAGGATGACACGCAAATTTGTGAAGTGTTCCGTATTTTTTTTTTAAAAAAAAAAGAACATCAAATGGCAATGCCCAGGAGACAGCTGAATAAGCGGGAAAGGAAGCCAGGAAAGGACCTACGGCAGGAAATAACCTGGGAGTCATCAACAAATGGAGGAAACAGAATATGGAGAGGGAGGGGCCAGCGTGGTGGCACAGTGGTTAAGTTTGCACGTTCTGCTTCGGCGGCCCAGGGTTTACCAGTTTGGATCCTGGGTGCAGAAATGGCACCGCTTGTCAAGCCATGCTGTGGTAGGCGTCCCACATATAAAGTAGAAGAAGATAGGCACGGATGTTAGCTCAGGGCCAGTCTTCCTCAGCAAAAA